TGGGACTGGAGACCATGAGTTAGCAATGGCTTCTTAAGAGGAGTCGGGGCTGGGCTCAGTGGCTCAGCCTGTAACTCCAGCACTTTGGGAGACCGAGGCAAGTGGACTGCCTGAGCCCACGGGTTTGAGACCAGCCCGGGGAACTTGGCGAGACCTCCGTCTCTATAATAAAATCAAAAAATTAGCTGGACATTGTAGTGCACACCTGTAGTTCCAGCTACTTAGAAGGCTGAAGCAGAAGGATTGCCGAAGCCAATGCTGGGGTGGCCATGAGTGTGCCAGTGCACTCCAGCCTGGGCAACAGAGACTCTAACTTAAAAATTAAAAAAAGAGTCAGGTTCTTTCCAGATGACATTGAAATCCCTCAGATGTTTTTAAGTCAGAGTTTGACATGAACGGCATGTTTGTTGTTCATTTGTTTTCCAGAAAGCAACTCTGATTGTATTCTGGAAAGTGGAGTGGATGGGGGACACGTGACATAAGGAAAGAGCCAGGAGGGAGAGACTGCAACCTTCCAAAGGAGGCTGAGGAGGCCAGGGAAGAGCTGAAGGGTAGGTCCAGGCACATCTCAAAATGGATCTTGCAGGATTTGACAGCTAGTGTCTGTGACAAGTAAAGGGAAGGGAGAATGGCACTGAGACTTCTGGCTTGGAACTGTGAAGCCAATACCCGGGTAGTAAATACACGAGGAGAATGCTCAGAACAGGGAAAAGTTTTGTTTATGTCTGGGCTTCATCTTTGGGATACCAAAATGGAAAAGACCTCCAGTCAGTCAGCAACACAGACCTTGGGCTCAGAAGAGAGACTTAATTATTTGGGACACAGATTTGAGAATGATGTTCTGAAGACAGAGCCCATTTGAATGGACAAGATTGCCCAGAGGTTGCTAGTCATGTGAATGGAGCTATCTATGCAAAATATCATGGGGACTTATTTGTAGACTGAATAAATACTGTAGAAATAGTAAACTTTGACATTAGTAATATATTTTTCAAAGTCCCTCTTGATTTCCCTGTCTATAAAATAGAAAACTAATAACATTTATGTAAACAATTTATAATGTCTTTTTTCAAATGTACCACTTCATGAATGGGTAACATAGTTACACAGACTCAAAGAGACTGAACAATCATATCACCTCCCTGCAAAAAAGAAAAAAAGTAGATACCTTAGCCAGAGTCATCCAATGACATGGTTGCATTCTGGCTCCATGCTTCCATAACTCTTAACCAGAGGCAAATTATGCCCCTTCTTCCTTCCTTCCTATCACAGGGCAAGACGTGTCCCTCCCTCTAAGAGCAATTCTGTTCTGTGGCATCCCAAGTCTTCGATCTCCTCAGTGTCCTACTCAGTGGACGTTCCCCTCCCTCTCTATGGATCCTCATCTTCTCTTCCTATGTCTCTTTTCTAATAGTATTTAAACATACTTGAATGTCCTGGCTTGAAATATTCTCTCTCGGCCCCATAGCCGAGAGATAATATTTACTTACCTCTCGACTTCCTTTTACAAAAAATTCCTTTAAGAAGACTCTAGTGTATCATTTTTATTTCTTCATATTGATCTCAATAAAACCAACAGTAGCCGATGGTACTAATAAAACCAACAGATATTTTCAATCCTTCTTTTACTTAACCTCTCAGCAATAGTCTTGATACTTATGACTACCTCTTTTTCTATTTATTTATCTTTTTTGTTGACTTGACTTCTGAGATATCACATTCTTCTGGTGTCTTCCAACCTCTATGGCTTCTCAATTTCCTTCAAAGTCCACAGTCGTCTCCTAGCTTTTATATGTTAACTCTCCTGAACGTTCTTGAAAACCCTTCTCCTGGTCACTCTATGCCCCTCTCTGGACAATCTTACCCTTTCCCTCCTTTTCAATTATTCTTTGTATGCTTTTTCTTCTCATATCTGCATATTCAACCCAAAATACTTTCCTAAATTATAAATCAACATGCCTAACTGTCTTCTAGTCACCCTTACTCAAAGATCCCTTACACACCACAAAATTGACATGTACACATCTGAACTCATCAATTTCTTCCCTAAACCTAGTCCTCAGCTAGTAGTTCTCACCTCAGAAAATAGCATCAATATTCTGCCACTGGCTCATGTCGGAAATCTGGGAATTGTCTTTAGCTACCTCCTCTCCTATATATCCTTTTGATTATTATCATGTCCTGTTGATTTTATTCCCCTACTATTTGTTGATCCCTGTTGCCATTACTCTGACCCTGGCCACTTACCTCTCTTGCTTAGATTATAGCAGTAATCTTATACTTGGACTTCACATCTAAAATTTTGCTTCTTCTGTCCTTCAGCAGCCAAGTGATCTTAAAATAAAAATCATATTACGTCATACATACCTACTTTCCCAAATTCAAGCCCTTTAAAATTTCTTGTTACCCTTATAAGAATGCACACTTTCAATATGGTTGTACCAGGCCCTCCATGGTCAGGCTTCTTTGGCTCGCCTTCTCCATTTCAAATGTCCCCAAACACTGGGAACTCTCCCCTCACCTCCAGACATTCACACCTGCTATTCTTCCACTAGCACCTTGTCCTCATGTAGCCAAATCTCATCCATTCTTTGGATTTCTGCTTGAATATCATTTCTTTGGAGTTTTCCCTGACCCCTAGATAAGGTTAGGTTCTCCTGATATGGGGTCCCATATACTCTCACCTTAAAAATCAATTATACCATTCATCACATGCTTGCCAATTACTTGTTCATGACTGTCTATAAGTTCTGTGAGGGTAAAGATCAGACACAGGTGACTTGGTCATCATGATAGCCCATGCATGTCACATAGCAGGTGTTCTGTGATCACTTGTTATATCTGATTGGATGGATAAAAGTAAAGGCATAAAATTGGACTGTGCTACTCTAATTTGTGTGTGGAACTGGAAGAAGCAGTACATAAGCTAAATAACAGAACTGGGCTGATAAATTATCTTGATTGATCAAAATTTTTAAAATAAATAGAAGTAACTATAATGACCTACATTCATATTTAAGGAATCATTTATATACATATAAAATAAAGTTATGTTTTAATAGCAGCTCATGTGAAAATGTCTTAAGGCCATGTACAAAGACTTCAAGCCTCACATGGCCAACAGAAGGATATGGCTTATAAATGGAAAGTGATGCCAACTTATGCTGAATTACTACCACACTCAGGAAAGCCTCTCATGATAGCTTGTGTCTTATGCTGGACCTGGCATACACCAAGAGTGTAAGCAAAGCTTGTTGAGTGAAGAGTGAGAAGTCCCATGATGATCTATGCCAGATAGACCACACCTGGAGAATTATATACAATTCTTGACATCAATAGCAAAGACTGTGAGAGGAAAAAATAGGACAACCAGGTCTAGAAGCAATAATAATAATAGCTAATATAGCACTCACTATGTGATGGGCATTTCTGTAAGCCCTTTTATATATATTCATATATACATGTATATATGTATAAATATATACATATATGTATAATCATATACTATATGAGGTAGATATAATTATTATCCCCATTTTACAGATGATAAAAGTGGGGCACCAATGGGTTGTCATCAACCCAAAGTCACATAAGTAGTAAGTGGCAGAGCCAGGTTTCAAAACCAGACAACCAGATCTCACAGTCCATGCTCTTAGAAACCAATCATATCAATGTCCTACTAGAAATGAAGAAGGAAAATTATTCATCTGGAGATAGGAGTGAGAGGAGACTCAGAAAAAAAAGCATATTAACTGGCTTTAGAGTTAAATATCCAGGTAGAAATATAAAGGAGGCAGATATTGGCTCAGTAGAATGAAGAGCTTCCTAATACTTTGCATTGTCTCACAATTGCTCAGGAAGGCTCACTGGAGTCCCTGTCAACAGAACATCCAGATAGAGGCTAGAGGTTCAGCTACAAATGATGTCAATACAGTCCCATCCTAGTAAAAAGGTGAGCCTAGAGATCCCCTTGAGTTTCTCCATTCTCTAAGATCTATGATTCTAAAAATAACACATGGTCCTCATTCTCAGGCGGCACACAACTCAACACAGAGCAAGGCAAATGGCAGAACCAATCAAGGTGGAGAGTTAGTAGGCAATTAGAAATTATCAAAATAACAAAACGGATGAAATTTAGAGCAATGAGCCCTCACACTGCCTTTGAAGATAAATATCCTTGCTCCCTACCTGCTTCCACATCAAGCAACATTAGAAACGGAAACAGCACAGCAGAATATGTCATGGTATAAAATTCTAAGAAATGCCATGTACCTAATATATTATGCACAGATCAACTCCTTATGCACCTGGTTTGCCATATCAATAGATAGTGTCAAAGAATTTATTTGAGTTGTTTAGACTGTGAAATCGTTTCTTTCCTCCAAAAAAGGAGAAGATCTAGTTAAGTCTGAGATTAAAGAGGTGGATAAAAGTGACCCCTGGCCTATGAAAGGCAGGAATTAGACATGCTGCTGCAGCCGGCAGTCTTCAGACATGATCTACTACAGGGACGTCCTCCATCAGATGTTAGCGAAGCTAATCCTTTGCAAAGCATGACAGCTTCTCCAACTTGACTGTGGTGAGTCCAAACCAGATTTGTATGCTCCGTGATCTGCTTTCAAAATACAAAATCATTTTTACCTTGTATTGAGTTTAAGTTTATTAGGTTTAAATTCACAAACAAAGATGCAGATGCCCACAGTGCAGTTTATACAACATGCCCTGACCTTCCCTGATGTTCATCTCACAGAATAAAATGTCAGAGAATTGTGAGATAGAAATGTACAGAATCAGAGCTTCTCATAACAAAATGCTGTCGAACAGAAATGGAGTGCCCCAAACTCTTAAGTGAACGGTTCACATTTCCATCTCTAAAGAAAGAAGGTCATAATATGCCACCAGAACATTCTCACAGATACATAGCTTTTCAGCTGAATGTCACCAACTCTGAAGCCTTTCTTACTCTGACAGCATACTGAAATTCTTAGATGCTGACTTACCTTTTTGCAGTCAGATAAGGACTTCTCACTGGCCAATGTGTTGAAAATAGTGGTCTATAAGACAGGAAGGTGGAAAACACATCAGAACTGTCAATGTATAATGATATCAACCGTTCCCTGCTCATTTCAACCCAAGGTAGGCACCACCTCCTACAACCCACTGACTTCTCTGGATTTTAAGTTGTGCTTCCTTTTGCTGTTCCCACAGCTGCCCTACCCAAGCAGGAACGTTCATTATAAGCCAACAACCACTCAATGAAGTAAGGACGCTTATTTATCTTCATTTTACAAACAAGGTCACTGAAGTGCAATTAGACCCATTGCCAAGGATCACATAACCTGGATATAGTTAGGTCAGGACACAAAGCCAAACAGGCTGATTCCAGAACCCACTTTCAACCACAAATAGTACTCTATCTTGAAGAGATATGTGTAAAATGTTAGACAGTAAACTGTATAAAATCATTCAAATGACATCTGATATAAGCCTGAGTGGTAGAGGGGAGTTACTTCCTACTGTTTTAAGTCTGAACAGTAGTACCAGGGCTGGCTATATCCTTCCCACTTAATACATTCACTCTCCCTGTGGCTGACTTCTTACAAACAAGGAAGGGGTTCAAAAAAATGGGATTATTTTCTGGAGGGTAGGCCCCTTGTGGTACAGGCTTCTCCTGCTAGGTAAGTATTCTAGGAACTCATTGGTATCAGTGTACCAGATAGTGTTGTCGTGAGAGGCTGCATTCAGCTTCAGATAATTTTTTTTGGGGGGGGAGATTTCTTTCAACACATTTGCACCTTTCATGATGGGTGATTTATGAGCACACCTGACCACAACACCTTGAGTGTTCAGCAGTTTTTGACCAAAAACAGCATGACCCCCATGCCCTACTCTCCCTATTCACCTGATCTTACCCCAGTGACTTTTGTTCGTTTGTTTGTTTCCCCAAATGAAAAAAGCCCTCAGAGGAAAATGTTTTGCTGATGTGGAAGAGGTGAAACAAAAAATGGCAAAAGCACTAAAAGGCATCAAAATGGACAAGTTCAAAAACTCTTTTGAGTCGTGGAAAAAGTATCACAATAGATGCATTACATCAAACAAACAGTAGTTTGAAAGTGACTGAAGTTTGAACATGTATGAATAAATACACGATTTTTATAAATAAATTCTGTGTTTTTAGGCACACATATGAAACATATGTGTGCATATTTGCTTGACCTAATTGAGGCACTCAAAAGGCACTTAAGCATCAAGGCTATTCCAGGATTACACTCAAGTGTTCCTTTTGTAGTATCCTGTGAACAGATGCATAGATATGGCCAGCCACACAAATGGCATTGAGTTATTTTTTTGTAAATCTCTTTACTTTTCTTTAATTATAAAACTAACATTTATTCCTAATAAATCAATCCCCTTCATACCTTTTTCTCCTGAGGTAACCAATAATAGAAATTCATATTTGTCCTTCCACACTTTCCCTAAGTGCACATACTGTATAAAAGCTTCTTTCTTTTTTATGATCATACCATTCTACTTTAGAATATATTCTCAATATCTATCCAGGTCAGCTCTTACAGATTGACTCATTCTTCTTAATAGCTATATAACATTTCATAATATGTATATATCATGCTTTATCTTTCCCTTACTCAGGAACTTTTGGTGGTTCCAAGGTTTTGGTTCTTTTTTTATTGCTATAACAAATTGTACTGCAGTAAACATTCTTGTATATATAAGCAATATATACATATATGCATCATGTGTATGTATATATATATATGTATGTATGAGTGTGTGTATTATATTTATACTGATAATTTTATTTTGGTTGAATAGGGCCAAATAAATCAAAGGAATGTATAACAAACAAAGACTTTGGTATGGCTGGAAAATCGAATGTATATAAATTTTCTCCTATTCTTTTCTCATATAACATCATAAAAATATTTACCACCCCACCTAGGGTTTTGTTTTATTTTGGAACAAGTATGAGAGAAAGCTAAGAGACTAAGTCAGCACATATTCTGATCCAAATCATTATGTATTGTTAAAGGACAGAAAACACAGATACATATATCTGTGTATCTGAAAAGAGAAGATGCACATATTAAAAAGTGTCTACAATTTAAAAAATTAAGTTCAAGGTTTAGGTTGGGTGTGATCTTCAGTTATGGTTTGCTGGTAGCTTTTATTTCATTTGCAAGGGAAGGGATAAATGTTACTGAGAAAGTCTGACCCCAAAAAAAGGAAAACAAAAAGAAGGGAAGAATTTTGGTGGTAGAAGAAAAGAGGAAAAACAAAAGACAAAAAGAAGGACAAGATGAAACATTTACAAAAACCAGGCAGAGGTAGCTTCCTTATCAAGAAAAAGGAGAAAATGGTTCCCATAGAGAAACAGCCATCTTTGATCACAGAGGATGAGGGCACATGAGTTGTTCTTATCATGGTCCACCATGACAAATGGCAAGGGGTGGTAGGACATAGACTTGTAAGTTCCGTGTCATCTTGCCCTTATGTCTTAGTTTCTCTCATTTTTATATTCCTTGGGGACCAGTAAGGACAGAGAGAAAAGCTAAGGAATCAGGTCTCTCTCTCCATGCTACAGAGAACCACTCCACCCACAATTTCCCATTGAACGTCTTCTCTATGACTTTTCATCATCCTTCTTTGTACACATGAGCACTGTGTCATGAGAGAGGTCTTAATGTTCACTCTCAGATTCTGCTCCAAGAAGGTAAAAATCCAGTGAGGCTTGGTCATTGCAGTAGGCCCATTACCTAGCCCAGTGATTGACACAAAAAAGGTATCCAATAAAAATGCACTGAACAGATGCAAAAGAAAATAACACCAAGCAAAACTGCCATTCTTATCCCAAGACATTGTTTTGGAAGCACAGTGCTAGAAAAGCATTCCACAAGTAACAGCATTATGAAATGAAGCCTCAGAAGACAGGAACAGAGAGAAATAACCAACTCCTAAGTAACAGTAATGCTCTGTTTAGCATATCTCTACTGTCCATTATCTACTTGGTTTGGCTAAACCAGGATTTTTTAATGTTGACCCTATGAACATTTTGAACAGGATAATTATTTGTTTTGAGGTAGTGAGGGAGCATGTTGTACACTGTAAGACGATTTACAGTATCTCTGGCTTCCACCCACCAAACACTAGTAACACATTCCACCCACCTCAGTCATGGCAACCAAAAATGTCTCTAGACATTGCCAAATGTTCCCTAAGGGGCAAAATTTCCCCCATTTGAGAACAACTGGTCTAATCTCTAAAGGAGCTAGTTATGGAAATGATTTTGATTTCTTGGCTAATGCAACTAAATTTTTCTCCAGGAAACAGAAGCTTGGTGATGAAAAGACTCTTTCCAACACCTGAATTCAAGTTCCATTCCCTACCCCAAATGGGAGTCAGAATCTAGGAAGGATCCACATTCCAGCTACTGAAGACTACATATGGGGCAACTCAAGAGACCATAACTGCATTTTTAACTAAACTTAGATACACCAGCACTGCCATCCTGAAAAAAGTAAATTAAGGAACATGTCTAAGAATTCTGACATTAGTGTTATAGCCCTAGGGCAAATGATCTTCAAAATTAAACAATACCATTCAACCTTTGAGAACAGTCTCAGGTGACCTGAGAAACATGTTTGGAGGAAAAATTAGAATCAGAGATGGGTGAAATTAACTTCACTAAAAAAATTTGCACAAGTAATTCTAAATGTTGCATTTATAGAGAGGACTCACTGGAGCCAAAGGGCAAAGAACTGTATGATAAAATCTTGATACTTGAAATGAGGATGGAAGGATGGCATGGGTCAGTGATAGTCCATATCCTTAATTCAGCCATTTTCTAAGGGGATTTTACTTACACGCTTGGTCAGTCTCATTTTGTTCCTTTCAAAAGCCTTTAACTGGCACTCCAGTGTCCTAACTGCAGCTATTGTGAATGATTTTAGGTGGGCTTTCTAAACCTTCCAATAACACATTCACTTTAATTACTGAAAATGAAAGACTCAAAACATGGTGACTTAGCCATGCTGTGACCTTCTTGATTACTGCATCAATATTTTTCTACCAAAGAGAAAACTCCTAATGAGTCACCTCCACCAAAGTTTGCATGATGCTGTTTGTCACAGGAACACAATCACAATAAACACAATGACTTTTTTAGAGCACCAACTTCCAACCCTGTCAGCGGGGTTGCCAGCATAGGGTCAACAGCATTACACATGGACAGTTTTAGCAGTTTCCCAAAGAGAAGTTAGAAAGGTGAGGTTTCACTTTTGTCCATTAATATACTGATGCCTGAAATTTCTCTTATTAGAAATATGTTTTTAACATAAGGCTTTGAATTGTAATAGACAAACTCCTGATGTTTACTAAGGTCTAGGGGACCCACTGCAGAAGGGAGAGTTGGAGATCTCATGTGTTACAGTTCACTGGTCTGTTACACCTTAAAAGAAATAGAGTTTATCAGATCCTTTCCAAAAAAATATTTTTATACCTTGAGGTTTTTTATTTTTTAATAATTTCAAAAGCAGATTTTGATAGGAGAGAAATGAAAACTTAGGTCATGAGGACATTGCACACTCATAGTGATGGTAAAATACAGGTCGCAGGTTAGATTCCCTAAAAAGCAGACTGTGAAATGAAAATTGGCATGCAGAAGGTTTATTAGGAGGTGTTCTCAGGATCGCTGCTTATGGATGGATAGGGAAGAATGCAGGATGGAGCAGAGGAAGAAACTGAGCTATTGGACAGGCTCAACAAAGTTCTCATCCAACCAAATGTGGAGTTCAGAAGGTAGGGTAGACTCATCCCAAGCTGGAGTGTATAAGAGGGCTTCCCTGGGAAGGCAGCATGACCCTGGGCAACCTGACTCTTTCCAGCTAAGGGTAAAGTCCTAAGAGGGCTGAGAGCTGAGGGCAGCCAGCTAGCAGGACTCCTAGCAGCAGGGAGATCTATGGAAAGCCTGACTATGTCTACTACAGTCTACTTTACTTGACATTCTTTCACCAAGGGCAGATCCAGGATGTGACTGAT